AGCAGTTACTCATATCCTGGCATATATCTTGTGCTGAATGGGATCTGCTGAAAGTGCCATTCCTCCTCCCGCACTGAAGATCTCTTGTAAGAGACTTAGGGTATGTCTACACTACAGAATAAGGTCGAATTTATAGAAGTCGGTTTTTTAGAAATCGGTTTTATATATTCGAGTGTGTGTGTCCCCACAGAAAATGCTCTAAGTGCATTAACTCGGCGGAGCGCTTCCACAGTACCGAGGCTAGAGTCGACTTCCGGAGCGTTGCACTGTGGGTAGCTATCCCACAGTTCCCGCAGTCTCCACTGCCCATTGGAATTCTGGGTTGAGATCCCAATGCCTGATGGGGCTAAAACATTGTCGCGGGTGGTTCTGGGTACATATCGTCAGGCCCCCGTTCCCTCCCTCCCTCCGTGAAAGCAAAGGCAGACAATCGTTTTGCGCCTTTTTTCCTGAGTTACCGGTGCAGACGCCATACCACGGCAAGCATGGAGCCCGCTCAGGTAACCGTCACCCTATGTCTCCTGGGTGCTGGCAGACACGGTACGGCATTGCTACACAGTAGCAGCAACCCCTTGCCTTGTGGCAGCAGACGGTACAGTACGACTGGTAGCCGTCATCGTCATGTCCGAGGTGCTCCTGGCCACGTCGGCTGGGAGCGCCTGGACAGACATGGGCGCAGGGACTAAATTTGGAGTGACTTGACCAGGTCATTCTCTTTAGTCCTGCAGTCAGTCCTATTGAACCGTCTTATGGTGAGCGGGCAGGCGATACGGACTGCTAGCAGTCGTACTGTACCATCTTCTGCCGAGCAGCCATGAGATGTGGATGGCATGCAGTCCTTCGGCACCGTCTGCTGCCAGCCAAAGATGTAAAAGATAGATGGAGTGGATCAAAACAAGAAATAGACCAGATTTGTTTTGTACTCATTTGCTTCCCCCCCTCTCCCCTGTCTAGGGGACTCATTCTTCTAGGTCACACTGCAGTCACTCACAGAGAAGGTGCAGCGAGGTAAATCTAGCCATGTATCAATCAGAGGCCAGGCTAACCTTCTTGTTCCAATAAGAACGATAACTTAGGTGCACCATTTCTTATTGGAACCCTCTGTGAAGTCCTGCCTGAAATACTCCTAGATGTAAAGACACCCCCTTTGTTGATTTTAGCTCCCTGAAGCCAACCCTGTAAGCCGTGTCCTCAGTCGCCCCTCCCGGCGTCAGAGCAACGGCAAACAATCGGGCATCTGAGAGTGCTGTCCAGAGCAGTCACAATGGAGCACTGGGGCTGTCAAGGTTCCTCCCCACTCTGAACTCTAGGGTACAGATGTGGGGACCTGCATGAAAAACCTCCTAAGCTTATCTTTACCAGCTTAGGTCAAAACTTCCCCAAGGTACAAAATATTACACCCGTTATCCTTGGAATGGCCGCTACCACCACCAAACTAATACTGGTTACTGGGGAAGAGCTGTTTGGACGCGTCTTTCCCCCCAAAATACTTCCCAAAACCTTGCACCCCACTTCCTGGACAAGGTTTGGTAAAAAGCCTCACCAATTTGTCTAGGTGACTACAGACCCAGACCCTTGGATCTTAAGAACAATGAACAATCCTCCCAACACTTGCACCCCCCCCTCTCCTGGGAAATGTTGGATAAAAAGCCTCACCAATTTGCATAGGTGACCACAGACCCAAACCCTTGGATCTGAGAACAATGAAAAAGCATTCAGTTTTTTACAAGAAGACTTTTAATAAAAAATAGAAGTAAATAGAAATAAAGAAATCCCCCCTGTAAAATCAGGATGGTAGATATCTTACAGGGTAATTAGATTCCAAAACATAGAGAACCCCTCTAGGCAAAACCTTAAGTTACAAAAAAGATACACAGACAGAAATAGTTATTCTATTCAGCACAATTCTTTTCTCAGCCATTTAAAGAAATCATAATCTAACACATACCTAGCTAGATTACTTACTAAAAGTTCTAAGACTCCATTCCTGTTCTGTCCCTGGCAAGAAGCAGCATACAGACAGACCCAGACCCTTTGTTTCTCTCCCTCCTCCCAGCTTTTGAAAGTATCTTGTCTCCTCATTGGTCATTTTGGTCAGGTGCCAGCGAGGTTACCTTTAGCTTCTTAACCCTTTACAGGTGAGAGGAGCTTTCCCCTGGCCAGGAGGGATTTCAAAGGGGTTTACCCTTCCCTTTATATTTATGACAGGGGCTAAATGGGGCTAAAACATTGTCGCGGGTGGTTCTGGGTACGTATCGTCAGGCCCCCGTTCCCTCCCTCCCTCCGTGAAAGCAAGGGCAGACAATCATTTCGCGCCTTTTTTCCTGAGTTACCTGTGCAGACGCCATACCACGGCAAGCATGGAGCCCGCTCAGGTAACCGTCACCCTATGTCTCCTGGGTGCTGGCAGACGCGGTACGGCTTTGCTGCACAGTAGCAGCAACCCATTGCCTTCTGGCAGTAGACGGTGCAATACGACTGGTAGTCGTCCTCGTCGTGTCCGAGGTGCTCCTGGCCACGTCGGCTGGGAGCACCTGGGCAGACATGGGCGCAGGGACTAAATTTGGAGTGACTTGACCAGGTCGTTCTCTTTAGTCCTGCAGTCAGTCTCATTGAACCGTCTTACGGTGAGCGGGCAGGCGATACGGACTGCTAGCAGTCGTACTGTACCATCTTCTGCCAGGCAGGCAAGAGATGAGGATGGCTAGCAGTCGTACTGTACCATCTTCTGCCGAGCAGCCATGAGATGTGGATGGCATGCAGTCCTTCGGCACGGTCTGCTGCCAGCCAAAGATGTAAAAGATAGATGGAGTGGGTCAAAACAAGAAATAGACCAGATTTGTTTTGTACTCATTTGCCTCCTCCCCTGTCTAGGGGACTCATTCCTCTAGGTCACACTGCAGTCACTCACAGAGAAGGTGCAGCGAGGTAAATCTAGCCATGTATCAATCAGAGGCCAGGCTAACCTCCTTGTTCCAATAAGAACGATAACTTAGGTGCACCATTTCTTATTGGAACTCTCCGTGAAGTCCTGCCTGAAATACTCCTTGATGTAAAGCCACCCCCTTTGTTGATTTTAGCTCCCTGAAGCCAACCCTGTAAGCCGTGTCGTCAGTCGCCCCTCCCTCCGTCAGAGCAACGGCAGACAATTGTTCCGCGCCTTTTTTCTGTGCGGACGCCATACCAAGGCAAGCATGGAGGCAGCTCAGCTCACTTTGGCAATTAGGAGCACATTAAACACCACACGCATTATCCAGCAGTATATGCAGCACCAGAACCTGGCAAAGCGATACCGGGCGAGGAGGCGACGTCAGCGCGGTCACGTGAGTGATCAGGACATGGACACAGATTTCTCTGAAAGCATGGGCACTGCCAATGCATGTATCATGGTGCTAATGGGGCAGGTTCATGCTGTGGAACGCCGATTCTGGGCTCGGGAAACAAGCACAGACTGGTGGGACCGCATAGTGTTGCAGGTCTGGGACGATTCCCAGTGGCTGCGAAACTTTTGCATGCGTAAGGGCACTTTCATGGAACTTTGTGACTTGCTTTCCCCTGCCCTGAGGCGCATGAATACCAAGATGAGAGCAGCCCTCACAGTTGAGAAGCGAGTGGCGATAGCCCTGTGGAAGCTTGCAACGCCAGACAGCTACCGGTCAGTTGGGAATCAATTTGGAGTGGGCAAATCTACTGTGGGGGCTGCTGTGATGCAAGTAGCCCACGCAATCAAAGATCTGCTGATATCAAGGATAGTGACCCTGGGAAATGTGCAGGTCATAGTGGATGGCTTTGCTGCAATGGGATTCCCTAACTGTGGTGGGGCTATAGACGGAACCCATATCCCTATCTTGGCACCGGAGCACCAAGCCGCCGAGTACATAAACCGCAAGGGGTACTTTTCGATAGTGCTGCAAGCTCTGGTGGATCACAAGGGACGTTTCACCAACATCAACGTGGGATGGCCGGGAAAGGTGCATGATGCTCGCATCTTCAGGAACTCTGGTCTGTTTCAAAAGCTGCAGGAAGGGACTTTATTCCCAGACCAGAAAATAACTGTTGGGGATGTTGAAATGCCTATATGTATCCTTGGGGACCCAGCCTACCCCTTAATGCCATGGCTCATGAAGCCGTACACAGGCAGCCTGGACAGTAGTCAGGAGCTGTTCAACTACAGGCTGAGCAAGTGCAGAATGGTGGTAGAATGTGCATTTGGATGTTTAAAGGCGCGCTGGCGCAGTTTACTGACTCGCTTAGACCTCAGCGAAACCAATATTCCCACTGTTATTACTGCTTGCTGTGTGCTCCACAATATCTGTGAGAGTAAGGGGGAGACGTTTATGGCGGGGTGGGAGGTTGAGGCAAATCGCCTGGCTGCTGGTTACGCGCAGCCAGACACCAGGGCGGTTAGAAGAGCACAGGAGGGCGCGGTACGCATCAGAGAAGCTTTGAAAACCAGTTTCATGACTGGCCAGGCTACGGTGTGAAAGTTCTGTTTGTTTCTCCTTGATGAAACCCCCCGCCCCTTGGTTCACTCTACTTCCCTGTAAGCTAACCACCCGCCCCTCCTCCCTTCAATCACCGCTTGCAGAGCCAATAAAGTCATTGTTGCTTCACATTCATGCATTCTTTATTCATTCATCACACAAATAGGGGGATGACTACCAAGGTAGCCCAGGAGGGGTGGTGGAGGAGGGAAGGAAAATGCCACACAGCACTTTAAGCACAGCACTTTAAAAGTTTACAACTTTAAAATTTATTGAATGCCAGCCTTCTGTTTTTTGGGCAATCCTCTGTGGTGGAGTGGCTGGTTGGCCGGAGGCCCCCCCCCACCGCGTTCTTGGGCGTCTGGGTGTGGAGGCTATGGAACTTGGGGAGGAGGGCAGTTGGTTACAGAGGGGCTGCAGTGGCAGTCTGTGCTCCAGCTGCCTTTGCTGCAGCTCAACCATACACTGGAGCATACTGGTTTGGTCCTGCAGCAGCCTCAGCATTGAATCCTGCCTCCTCTCATCACGCTGCTGCCACATTTGAGCTTCAGCCCTCTCTTCAGCCCGCCACTTACTCTCTTCAGCCCACCACCTCTCCTCCCGGTCATTTTGTGCTTTCCTGCACTCTGACATTATTTGCCTCCATGCATTCGTCTGTGCTCTGTCAGTGTGGGAGGACAGCATGAGCTCAGAGAACATTTCATCGCGAGTGCGTTTTTTTTTTCTTTCTAAGCTTCACTTGCCTCTGGGAAGGAGAAGATCCTGTGATCATTGAAACACATGCAGCTGGTGGAGAAAAAAAAAGGGACAGCGGTATTTAAAAAGACACATTTTATAAAACAGTGGCTACACTCTTTCAGGGTAAACCTTGCTGTTAACATTACATACATAGCACATGTGCTTTCTTTACAAGGTCGCATTTTGCCTCCCCCCACCGCGTGACTACCCCCTCAACCTTCCCCCCTCCCTGTGGCTAACAGCGGGGAACATTTCTGTTTAGCCACAGGCAAACAGCCCAGCAGGAATGGGCTCCTCTGAGTGTCCCCTGAAGAAAAGCACTCTATTTCAACCAGGTGACCATGAATTATATCTCACTCTCCTGAGGATAACACAGAGAGATAAAGAACGGATGTTGTTTGAATGCCAGCAAACATACACTGCAATGCTTTGTTCTACAATGATTCCCAAGTACGTGTTACTGGCCTGGAGTGGTAAAGTGTCCTACCATGAAGGACGCAATAAGGCTGTCCTCCCCAGAAACCTTTTGCAAAGGCTTTAGGACTACATCTAGGAGAACCGCAAATGCCAGGGCAAAGTAATCCTTTCACATGCTTGCTTTTAAACCATGTATAGTATTTTAAAAGGTACACTCACCAGAGGTCCCTTCTCCGCCTGCTGGGTCCAGGAGGCAGCCTTGGGTGGGTTCGGGGGGTACTGGCTCCAGGTCTAGGGTGAGAAACAGTTCCTGGCTGTCGGGAAAACCAGTTTCTCCGCTTGCTTGCTGTGAGCTATCTACAACCTCCTCCTCCTCATCATCATCTTCTTCGTCCCCAAAACCTGCTTCCGTATTGCCTCCATCTCCATTGAAGGAGTCAAACAACACGGCTGGGGTAGTGGTGGCTGAACCTCCTAAAATGGCATGCAGCTCATCATAGAAGCGGCATGTTTGGGGCTCTGACCCAGAGCGGCTGTTCGCCTCTCTGGTTTTCTGGTAGGCTTGTCTCAGCTCCTTCAGTTTCACGCGGCACTGCTTCGGGTCCCTGTTATGGCCTCTGTCCTTCATGCCCTGGGAGATTTTGACAAAGGTTTTGGCATTTCGAAAACTGGAACGGAGTTCTGATAGAACGGATTCCTCTCCCCAAGCAGCGATCAGATCCCGTACCTCCCGTTCGGTCCATGCTGGAGCTCTTTTGCGATTCTGGGACTCCATCATGGTCACCTGTGCTGATGAGCTCTGCATGGTCACCTGCAGCTTTCCATGCTGGCCAAACAGGAAATGAGATTCAAAAGTTCGCGGTTCTTTTCCTGTCTACCTGGCCAGTGCATCTGAGTTGAGTGTGCTGTCCAGAGCAGTCATAATGGAGCACTCTGGGATAGCTCCCGGAGGCCAATACCATTGAATTGTGTCCACAGTACCCCAAATTTGAGCCGGCAACGTCGATTTAACCGCTAATCCACTTGTCAGGGGTGGAGTAAGGAAATCGATTTTAAGAGCCCTTTAAGTCGAAATAAAGGGCTTCATTGTGTGGACGGGTGCAGGTTTACATCGATTTAACGCTGCTAAATTCGACCTAAAGTCCTAGTGTAGACCAGGGCTTAGAGCCTGACTTGCTCTTACACCTGCTGTTCAAGAGAGAACAGAAACAAACGTATTCATTATGTAACTCTGTTTATATGCAGTGCCCAGCTTTTGCAGTTCTGTGTGTCGTATTTAACACTCAACCTAGGCTCTGGGTACTTTACATTCATTTAGAACAGTATTTGATAGAGAATTAAAAACCTATTGCTCACTTTACAAACTGCCCATGCAAATAGTACAGCTGCTCCCTTCAGTAACGCAGTCACTGCACCGTAGTCTTACAGTGAAACTGCCATGGATCCATACTACTGACTTGTTCCTTCCCTGACATGTATGGAAGAAAGTGGGCTTTTCAGTATACTGTATTTGGAAGGTTAAAAAAATGGCTTGAATAGACCACAAAGGGGGAGAGTAAATTCCATAGCTGAGGACCCCTTGTGGAAAATGCCTTGTTAGCAGTTTTTTTCTTAAAAAAACAAGAGAGTTCTTGTTTAAGCCCCTTTCCTGACCGATTGCAACTTTAGCAATATCACAGAGAAAGGGAGAAGCTTTGGCATATTGCTTAGTAAACTGACAGAATGATGATAAAATTAGTTTAATAGTTTAAATGTATTGCCTCATGGTAGAATTTACTTCGAGTCTTAATTATAAAGTTGGATATGTATCTGTTTCACAACATTTTGGGTGGTTTTAATCTAAATTAAGTCAAGTGGGCCAAGATAATATTGTAATGAGTGCCTTTATAAATGTGTGTAACAGTAATAATGGGCTTACTGTTGAATGTGCACCCAAAATGGTAATCTCCTTGTATGCATGAGTAGGTAGGTTACTTCTATCCATCTCTGTATACAAATCGCATGCAGTAATATGAATGCAAAGTAAGTATGCAGTTGTGGGCACAGAAATGCATTCGCACTTTAAATCTGAAAATCAGGTGCACCGTGGCTAGGGAATTGGTCTGCATCTCATTGTGACATGATGCTGCCCGTTACCTAAAAAAAACCCAAAAAAACAAGACTTCAGTTCAGTTGCATGTTGTGCTGGGTTATTTTCCTCAAAAGAAATTCTTTCCAAATATTTGAAAAAATATATTCTCAAGTCCAAGCAACAAAGTTGGCGTTTCAAATTGGTTTGTTTCTGTGCTTTTCCTTCCACCCATTCCCACACCCTCCACACCTTAGTTTTCTTGCAGTGTTGGAACTTGACAGCAGCACATACTTGGAATTGTGCAAGTTTTCTTATGACTTAAATTCATGAGTTACCCTTTGAACAAGTGTACAAGCATACAGCTACAGCACAGGAGTAGTGACGCTGCAAGCTTCCTTACCAACACCCTTACCAGTCCCACACATTCCTATAAGAGTGCCAAATTAGTAAAACTTCTGGTTTTTGTTTTGTTTTGTGTCAAGGCCATAAATGCTGTTCAACAATTAGCAGCATTATTTAAAGACCCGATCAAATGCCATTATCTTTCGTTGTAGTACTCTTAACTAGTCAAGTTGTCTTAAATTTATTTTGCTGCCTGAATGGTGCAACGGCAGTTTATAATTGCAGTTGACATCAGGCAGCTGCCAACAGACTTCAGACGATTACTGAAGCAGGCATTTAATAGAGAAATCGGTATCCTGGGGTTTAAAATGCTGGCTCCATATTGCAGGGCATTAGCAGTGAAATTATTTTCCTTTTGCTTCTGTAGCTACTTGTAGAAAACTTCTTACAGTTGAACTGGGAGCAAAATGTTTTGATACTAAACTAAATAGTAAATGTTTTGCGATTTCTCGGTGTTAGATACCATCATGATAAACACCTAAGAAATACCTTATTCACTGGAGGAAATAAAAGCACTTTCAGCTGAATTGTTTAACATCTAACCAGCGTACTTCTCATGCAATTTTTAAAATGAATTGTCTGTGTGCATTCCCCCTTCCCCGCCAAACCCTTTTAAAAAAGTATTTTGTTTTTCCTTTTGAATTACAGAAAAATGCGAAAGGGCTGGATTTGTTTGACCAGATTGTCTATCATTTGGACCTTGTGGAAACTGATTACTTTGGCCTACAGTTCATGGATGCCTCCCAGGTTACAGTATGTACAACTTTTATTTCATGTTTGCAATAATTTATGATGCCAATTACAAATGTATAATTGGTGGAAATGATAAGAAATATATGAATTAAATGCTGAAATAACTACAGAGGTGATGGTCAACAATTCTTACAAATAGGGCCAAACATTTGAAGTGAGGCATGTGTCATTTCATGTTGTTGTTTGTATTCGTACAATTTAGGCCCTTATGGCCAATTTGGTGCTGATTGTGTGTGGGAGAAGGGGGGCTTCATGTTTGGTAGGTCCATGATACTGAAACTGGGTAAAAAAACCCCTTTGATCTCAGTATAATCTACAGTAAATCAGGGGTCCTGATAACCCCTACTGCCAGAGTTGCAGATTGTGTTGTTCTTTAGCATGATGGGGAAATAGCAAGTTATATTAAAATCTTGTACTTGTGGTACTCCTGATGCAAAATTCTCACCCCCATCCCAGGACTCCTAGGTCTGCAGTAAAAATTAGCTGTTTTAAATAAAACAACCTCACCCATTTTACAAATTGATGAAACTGCAGGAAAATAGTATTTAAAAAGTCTAATGTCCTGTGGCAAAAATACACTAAACTATTTGTTGCTTTTTGCTATAGGCATGTCCACCTTATTCTCTGTAATTTTGCTACCATTGCTGGCCATTTGAGTAGCAAATGAGATTTTAATGGCTTGGAAGGTAAACTGTTGCAATTGAGTTCTCTGAAATAAGTAAATATTTTCCATAGCGCACAGGAGGAAAAGATGCATTAAGATGTCATTAAGGTAGAACACTGGGGTCCTATGAGAGGAAGTACTGGTGTGTATGTATAGTAAAATGTAGTTTCTGAATTTTCCTTTTCAGAATTCTCAGTTTCATTATGTAGTGAACAGAAGATGCAATGGTCTAGCAAAAAATATTGTGTCAGAAGATGATTACATTTGATCAGTGTGTTACTGAACCAAAGTATCTCAGATCACCAAAATGCAATGATAAACCAGTACATGTACTAAAACAGGATGACATGGAAAAAGAATCTTGCATGTTGTAAATGAAGACCTATTTGAGAAAGAAAAACAAATCTGGTCTTATTTATAAGAAAACTTACTTTCTCCTAGTAGATTTGCTTGTACTTCATTAAATTGTATGTACTGATCTCTAGAAAACAAAACTATCAGCTGACAAGTTTCAAACAGTGATTCTTCCCTTGTTGCAATAGTTGCTAACATTTGCTTATTTTGATATGGAATATTTTTTTAAAAATAAACTGGTCATTAGGTCACAGCTGTTGGAGACTTGTGGGTTCATTACTAGAAAAAATCTTAGAAAATTAGCAAAAACTGGATTCTAGATTGACTTTTGGTTTATATTTCCACGAAAAGCACGGAGTCTAAATCAGTGTCTACTTTTCTTTGCTTGTAAATAGAGCTGGTTGAAAATCAGAAAAATAATTTTATAAAATTTCTGAGTTGTCTCACGTTTGCTGCGTTTGAAATGGTCCCATTTTTCCATATTGGCATAATTTTTCAGATTTTTTTTTTAAAATTTAAATTGTTTTCAAAATGGTTATAGAAAGTTGCCATTTACCCAAAATAGTTCTCCTCTTCTCCCCGCCCGCCCCCCCCCATGGAGAACCAGATTTTCAGTATACAAAAAATGTTAATGATTTCAATTTGAAGTGTATTAAAACATTGTGTGGATAAACAAAATCCAGATGATATCAAGTTTTAGTAATTTTTTGTTTCTGAGAAAAGGCCATTTTTCAATGGAAAGCTTCTTGCCTGAAAAATCTGGATCAGTTCTACAGGTATGTATGTAAATAAAGTTTTAAAAAAGCTACCTCTACGAATCTTGAACCCAATCTTCAACTTAAATAAAAAATTATCCTTTGACCGTGCAGACTTTTTTTTCCTCCTACTTTCTCCAGTGTCTGTTCTCTTCCCTGTTAGTCTCCTCATCTGTTCCCTACTTTACTACATCTATAGCTCTTTCATCTGTAATCCCAAATAATTTCCATTCTGTGTTCCACCTGCCATTGGGTGAGAAAGCATATGGGCTAGGCCCATCTGTCTGGGTGCATGCTCCCTTCTGTCACGGACACAACTGGCTGCCTTTTGCCCCTATAGAGTACACACTGCCCAATTTGCCCTAAGCATGGACGTTTGTGTAATATGAGGTCACTGTGCTCCTTCATAGCACAGCTGGCAGGAGACTGTAGCTGCAGTTCATGGAGGCACAGAGCACAGCAGGGGAAGGAAATGGCCCAAGCAACAGGAGCAGAATTTCAAAGAAAAGCTACCTTTTGGGTCTTGAAGCAGCTCAGGATGGTCACCAAAGGGAACAGCAACTTTATAAAAACAACTCACTCCAGCAAGGAGAAGGGGAGAGAGGGAAGCAGACTAGAACCGAAGACAAGGCTGAGCAGGAGGAAGAGGAGACTCCTGGACCCCTGAACAGACAATCTGACTATTCCTTGTGCTAAGAGTAGTGTGTATGTGTGTTTAGAAATACCTTAGCAGAGTCTCTGTAACTTGCTATGATGTAATGCCTGAAGACCTTCTGGCTTCCCATTTCCTTCAACAGCTTGACTGGAACTCAGGGAGTATTTAATACCTAGTGGGGATGCTTGGGAAACCAGGCAC